TTGCATACATCATTTATACAACACTGATACATTCAATCGCAACATTTTGCATTTCAACACATACAACATACGCACACATCAAAATTCTTCCAATAAAATATTATTCTACTGTTATAAAAATTATTACCATATTGTAGGAAATATTTATAGCTTTCCGTAGGTTCGAACGATGCGTCAAACAGACACCCGAGTCAAAAGTTATGGAGTTTTCAAAATTTCAAAAATATTGTTAAACAGTCTTACGAATTCTTTAAAGTGCAATACAAAAACTCTTTTTTCTCAATTCCAAAAACAAAAAATTCATGAAATAATACGCAATCAAACATCTAATTATCATTTCTATCAACATACATCAATTACCACACAATTCAAAACATCAATTCATCGATTATAGTCATTTTCAACAGATTAAATCAATAATCAACACCAATTCATCATCATCAATCATCACACATACAAACCCCATACACATCAAATTCACACAAAGAAATTATAGAAGTACATAACCTAACTCTACTATAACCCATCATCATATAATCCGTTATAGAGTTAGAACTCCAGTCTTACCTTGAATTGAATGTTGCTCTAATTCTCCGATTGCACCTAGTTTTTTTCCTCTTCTTGCAGTTTCCACGTATCTCTTCTCTAACCCTTATTCCTCTTCTATTGTCAAAAACCTATTTTGTTCTTACTACTACTTCTAATTCTATTATAATATAACTATTATACTATTATTCTTATCATGTCTTAATGAGCTTAAACTCCTACACCTCTCTTTCTACTACTTCTAACATTAAAAACCCACTTATTAATAATAATATTATTATTCTAATACTATTTCTACAACTTAATCAAATAAATTAATTCAAATAATAACAACATAACTTAAATCAACATTCCACAACTTCGAAAATTTAATCGGAAAAATATTCGAAAATATTTAATTAAATAATTAATTAAATATTGGGCGTTACAGCAAGCTAGGGTTCTCATGCAGATTAGGGTTGGTTCATCATTGATTCAAGACATTTCCTCTGATTAAATATGTTGCTTGATGAGAAAGAAGCCCCGGCCTATGTCATACTTGAAGTCTTATTCTATCTTATGTCATACTCTACATAATAATATTAAAGAAGATGGTTTGTGTGAGTGCAACTTCACCATTAAATGTTTTGCATCATGTCAAAAATACGAAAACTAAGCATTTTTGTATATTGGACGATATCTTTATGTCACGTGGCACTCTCTTGCATTAGAGGTCTTAGGAATCATTTAAACAACTTTAAAATAAGTTCAATCATGAAAAAACAGTTTTTGCACAAAAAAATATATTCATGTGTCGACCTAAAATTTGTATGTGCCAACACATAAAATCAACATTTCTGCAATTTCTTAAAAGCTTCAGTATGTGTCAGCACATATGATTCATGTGCCGACGCATAAAATCATCATTTCTACAAATTTCTTAAAAGCTTCATTATGTGCCATCACATACGACTTATGTGCCGACACATGTACTACATTATTAAATATGTGTCAGCACATATAATTTATGTGTCGACACATGTATTGCATTACTAAAGCTTGTAGCTACTATTTTGTATGTGTCGACATATAAAATTTTCTAGTCGTCACATATTGTTTTGTGGGTCATTTTTTCATTCTGAAACTTCCCTCTTTTGCCTAAAAATATCTCAACTATAAATATATCATTCATGCATCATTTCAACTTGATGATACCATAAAATTAGCCTACATTTGCTCTTCATCTTCAACCTCCAATCTAAGCATACACACTAACATTCCATTGTAACGATATTTTGTTGGGGTTCCATCTAGACGAGGTTTAATAATGTTCGATTAGGTTCTTGTGTAACCGAGAATATTGGGTTGAGATTTATAGGGGACTTCATCTGGAAAAAATGTACGTTTGTCCTCCAAGATCATTCATTGATTTGGGAGTTTTCGTGTAAGACATTCAAGAGAGGATTGCGGCCTAGTGAAAGTCCTTTGGAGATAAAGAACACAAATGATCCTTTGGAGATAAATACTATAAAGGAAGTAGCGAGAGAACGGAGAATCAAATTAAAGTCTTGTGTTGCAATAAGTGCAATTGATGGTGCGTGAAAGCTTTGGAGATAAAAAATACAAAGGAGTAGCAAGATCCAAATGATCAATTGGAAATGTATTGTGTGTTTGATCTCGTTGAAGATTAAAAGAAGATAAGGGGTTGAATCAACATCAAACTATTATGGTTTATAGGGTTGCTCTTGGAACACTTCTCTTGTATTCATACTTTTTGCAAAGTAAGAAAGTATCCTAATTCCACATTGGAATTGGATGCAGACGTACCCACATGTAAGGAAGAAAGTGGGGAATTGTGTAGACAAATTCTTATGTTGCTCTCTATTCTCCAACTATACATAAGTTTCTAAAATTGAATGTTGAGACAACTTAGGAAACTTGATGTTTTTTTCCAAGATTTAAGGAGATTTTTCTACATAGTTGGTGCAGCCCTCAGCTTATGGATCAAGAAATATTTGGGTGAATATTTCAAAGCTCATGGACTACTGAGGTCTATTTAAATAGAAACCTAGACCTAATGTAATTTAACTTTTCACAATTGTAAAACTAGAGGAAGTCTAAAGTCTTAGGTATTGAGAGTCTCTTGTGTTTTTGTAAGTCACCCATGTATCTTTAGATACAGTGAGGTAGACTTATTGTTACTTGATAGTTTATCAACTTATTGTTCTTGGTTGAAGCTTTTAAGTAAAACTAAGTATTGTTCTCACTCATGGGTTTTTAAGCAAAGAGTTAAGTATTGTTTAGGAAGTGTAATCTTCTAGTTTTTTATTCTAGTCAATAGGATTGTGACTGTATTTTATCACTGAGGTGATTGGTAGGAAGTGAGAGGGGAGTCTCATATCTAGAAGGTTTCTAGGTAGAAGTTTCACAAGGTATTGATTAGGCGAGAAGTTGTAAACTAGAATTGTTTAGGCTTTGAACTAATATTATTATAGTGAATTTCTTCCCTGGCTTGGTAGCCCATAGAGTAGGTGACGTTGCACCGAACAAGGTTAACAATCAACTATATTATTTATCATTATGTAATTTATCCTTCTGCATATTTTACAGTTTGATGTTATCGTTCTGTATCAGGAAAAGATGTCGTAACATTTGTCTTGACATTGTGTTCTGATGTTGAGTCATCAGTATTAGCATTTGTGTTGCAAGTGCTAGAATTTCACATACCTTTTATAAGGAAGTCAACCGTTAATCAACGATCCAAATAAAAAACACGAGAAAGATCTAAAGGCAACAAATCAATTATCCCATCATGAAGAACGAAGAGCCAAAAATACTAAAGCTCCCTAAGTAGGGGAATCATTCCATGACCTGCACACATATGGTTATGTGCTGGAAGTAAAGAGAGAAATGTTTCAACAATAAGAAACAATTTAATGTGCTTGTCCCCTATTACTTTTTTAACTAACTCCAAACATTTCCGCCTCTAGTTTGAGGTGAACAATTTCCTCTAAGCTAACCATAACTGATAAAGGCCCATTCGCACCTTGCCGTCAGTTCACCTCTGGTTTTGGTAAATAACGTTGGTCTCTTAACAAAAAGTTGACTGGAGAGATCGACCAGGGAATCTCAGTACAGTGCTTCAGTTTTCGAGTGTTTTCATAAAGTATGTTCAAAAAGATTCGTTCGACTAGTGTCAAACGAGTTTATAAGCAATAAATCAAGACTTGTAAAATAAAACAAAAGACGTTTTAAACTGTAAATATAAATGACATAACATTAAAACAGTTGAAAATAGGTTGATTCAAACGTACATTGCCCTAACTTGACACATTTCACTCGTTCGCTTAGTTACTCTGAGTGACTAGCGTATAGGAATGTGAAAATTTGAACCTCTTATACTATGCACTAAATGCTTTATTTATAATACATGAAAACTAACTACTTTCTGGCAGGCTTCACTTCCTTGTACGTCACGTGTCTATGGTAACTTCTCTCAATGATCCCACATTTTCCATTCCTGCTATCGGATCCACGTTCTCTATTCATAATACTTTGTTTTGCTAGTTATGCACTCTTTAGACTTTTTAATTTTTCTAGGCCCAATCCATTCCTCGTGAGGCCTCTTTCTGGTCGACTGCGTCCACAAGTCCAATTGACTATTTATGAAATCTCTCCCGATTGACTGTTTCTGTGATCGACTTCTCATAATTCAAAGTTCTCAAAATATCTTTTTAACTTTTGGTTAGATTTTAATTTGTGTGAAAAATCCTAGCCAACAACGTCCGACAAGTTTTTGGGATAATTGTTCCAGACTTACCAAATGCCAAATGAATAAGAGCCAGATTAACTCAAATCCACTCTAAATGGCTCAAGGTGTAAATTCATGTCACACAAAATATAAAATACATTTTTCTAATCACCACTTTTCATTACATTCATCTTAAATCTTGAACTAACTTATGCGTCAAAGTTCTAGTCTTACAAGTCTACCCCAGATCATTGCATTAGATATCAATATTTTCGATTCAGAATTTCTCACAATCTACTATAATTATTTTTTATTCTAAAATAAAACATAAATTATTTTTATTTCTTTGAGATTTTAGACTAAAAAAATTCATAATTTCGTTTAAGAAATTTATTTAATTTAAAAATATTTTTCCAATACACTTGATGTTGGCGCATTATTGGTAAGTTTATTATTATTATTATTATTATTATTATTATTATTATTATTATTATTATTATTATTATTATTATTATTATTATTATTATTATTATTATTATTATTATTATTATTATTATTATTAAATATCTTACCATGCACATAATATGTGGGTTAGCTAAAAAATAAAAAAAAGTGGTGAGTTGTGTAAAGAGGAGCAGCAAAGAAACGACGCGTGTTTGAATACAGCTGTATCGCAAAATCCCAAATCAACCGCTTCCCAGGAACAAGCGGTATCCACAGTCCCATGACCGATACGAAAATCCCCAAAAACCTAACCTCCCAAACCGTTTCCCCTCACCCACCCATAACCCTCACACATATAAACCAACGCAATTCCAACTTCTCTCACAACAAAATCTCAAACGCTCCACAACCCTCAAACCAAAACCTTCTCCCAATTATGGATCGGATCAAAGGCCCGTGGAGCCCCGAAGAAGACGATGCCCTAAAGAACCTCGTCGACCGCCACGGCCCGCGTAACTGGTCTCTCATCAGCCGTGCTATCCCCGGCCGGTCTGGTAAGTCCTGCCGCCTCCGTTGGTGTAACCAGCTTTCTCCTCAAGTTGAGCATCGGGCTTTTACTCCTGAAGAAGATAGTCTCATCATCAGAGCCCATGCCCAGGTCGGTAACAAATGGGCCACAATAGCCCGGTTACTCTCCGGCCGAACTGATAACGCTATTAAAAACCACTGGAACTCAACTCTCAAGCGTAAGTGTTCGTCTTTCATGGCTTCCGACGATTCATCCTTCAATCCTCCGCCGCTCAAACGCTCTGCCAGCGTCGGCGCGCCGGGGAGTCCTTCCTGTTCTGATTTAAGCGATTCCGGAAACCATATCTTCCGTCCTGTTCCGGTTCGATTACCTGTCGAATCAATAACATCCGAACGAGAGCAGGAAAGAGAACAGGAGGAAGATGACGGTCTGTTAACATCGCTTTCGCTCTCGCTTTCTCTTCCAGGCGTGGATAAATCAGATGTGGTTAACCGTCAACCGTCGATAAGCCCTTCTCCGATAAGCGCTGTAACGGCTTCTGTGGCGGCGAAAGTTTCTCAGGAAGTTGGAATCGGAGCGTTGAATTTGAGTGGTGAATTCATGGCGGTTATGCAGGAGATGATAAAGAATGAAGTGAGGAGTTACATGGAAGAGCGTAATGGAATGTGTTTTCAGGGAGTGGATAGGCTCAGAAACGTTTCTGCTAAACCAATTGGGATTAACATTAGCAGGGTTGATTCCTAATTTGGGTGATTAGACTTTAATTAGAGTATTTTAATTAATGTTAATGTTAACAAAAAAATGGGTTTGAAAAAAAGAAGAACTAGAGGAAGCTTTAATTTTTTTTCTGCAAATAATTTTGGCCAATGTACAGAGGAGAGAGAAGTTTGAGTTAGTTGAGAAATGGAAGTTAAGTTCATTTACTTAGCAATGGTGACAAATCTGTAATTTCTCTCTTGTTCGGTTTGGTTGGAAAAGAAAAAGAGGGTTTAGATGGGAAACAAAATGGAATATCCTGAAAAATTTCTTATTTGAGTTTAATTAATTTTCTACTACTATCTGTAGAACAATGTAAATAATCGTTATTATGGTTCAAATCCAAAATTAAGTCAGTTATGAAAAAGGAAATCGAAATTAAGTGAGTCATGAAAAAGGAAATTGGTACGTTATTTGGATTTGGGAGTAGTTTTTTGTCAGTTATATATTTATGAACCTGAAAATTAGTTGATCAGTTACTATATGGTTACATTTTGATTTCAGAATCAAGAAATTTTCTGTATAACAACGGGATAGTTGACAGTTTTTGTTTTTCAAACCAATTTAACTGCAGTTTTTTTAGGTTTTTTCCAAAACCAATTTAACTGCACTTTTTTTTACAACAGCTGATCGATCACACAACTAATAATATGTTATTTTGGTTAGACTTTAATTTTTGTTTAGGTTACACAGTTAAGTAAAAATAAAAAATAAAAAAGATTACACATGTGTTAACTTAAATTTTCTGTGACTTTGTCTTTATATATAAATATTTTATTTATTTTTTTAATGTTCTGTGACTTTGTCCTTATATGTAAATATTTTATTTATTATTTTAATTAAATTGATTGATGAAATTAATGTGTTTATTTGTATGCTAAAGTAGTTTGATTGATAAGTTTATTTGGAGAAAAAAAATACATTTTATTTTTTGAGAGTGAATCAGGATGATGTTTTACTGCTCTACTAAGAGAAGGATAATAAAGAGTTTTGTTTCTATGCGCATTTTAAATAGTTTTACATTAGCTATTAATGTATGTAAATATAATCATACCTTTTAAAAAAAAGTTAAAATAAAATTTTTATATTAAATAAAAAATAAATGTGATGGACAGTTTGGTTAAAAGCTAGTAGTAGTCTAAAAAGTATAATGTAATAATGTCATTATTATTAAAATTTATTGTCGGTCCCTAAAGTATTTGATGATTTTGGTCTCCATTTTTAAAACATTTTGACCTATTCAACATGTATGTGTCTTAAAATAGAGAAAACACATGCACCATCAATTAGGGCACCTTCTTTTGAAGGGGTTGTGGAGGTGTTTTTGGCAATTCAATTGTCATAGAATGTTAGTTTATTGAAGTTTTTTTTTGGTTGACAAAAGCAAAATCAACTCATAATATTAATCAAATAGTGTTCATTACAAAAATGAATCATACTAAAAGAGTTACGTCTAAATTAAGAATTGGACGCCTTTGCGAGTAAGTAGACAACCGAATTCGTTTAGCATTTAATAAATTTGACCTCAAAGTTCTGAAAAGTTTGTAACAACGATTTAATAGACAAAATAATATAACTAAATTCAAATTTTCCAAAGAGGTTGGTTTGGATAGCTTGAACTACTCGTTGTGAATTGCTTTCAAAAGTAACATTTTTCAGATGCAAAGTTATAGCTCCTTAAATCGTATATTTAAGTGCCAAAGCTTCAGCTTCTAATATGGAGAAGGAGCAAATATCCCAAATTGCACCTCCATAAATGATATTAATGAGAATATCACGAATGCACCACCCTCGATTAGTAGTACCAAGATGAATATTAAAACATACATCTACGTTGCACTTAAGTCGGCCCGTCGATGGCGGATGCCACCACAAATCTACAATATTTCCGCCCTCACTTTGATGATGATGCTAAACTGAAAACAAATCTTGCAATGCTTTAATTGCAACCATATCGAGCTTAGAGGCCTTCTCACCCTCGTTGTTCCAAATAAAATCGTTTATATTCTTCCAAAGCACATAAATTATAATCACAATTCGACCGACCATCTTTCTATCCTCTTTACTACATAAGTCGAGGATGACCGACTTAACACTGCTATAAGAATACAACTACAATTCGACCGACCACCTTTCTATATCAGAATACAAACCTACTACTCTTTGTTGTACCCCAAAATTTACCCTCTCACTTATCAAGAATCTTCTCACAAGATATCATTGGGCTCAAGACTGCACTAGGGTTTGATCAGCTCAAGACACCTCCTCATGCACTGATGACCAAAATTAGGGTTTGAGTTTGCACAAGGATTTTTGAACTATTAATGCTTCATATGACTTTCATGGACCATTATGGACCCCTAAGATTATTCATGTCAAGTTTCAAGCCTTGAATCACACTTTTGATCAGTCAATTGAACAGTTGACCTAAAAATCAGCTGTATTGGGAAAAAAAGTCAACTATGGCCAATTTACAATCAAACTTCATAATTTTTTATCCACATCAAAATTTTAAACTCATATGTATCGTTTGATCAAGTTTAGACCACAATTCCTCAAGAAATTTGATCAAATCTCCAAAAGGGCAAAATGATCAAAATTAGGGTTTTGACTAGGAAAGGGCAATTTCTGATTTTTGACCTAGCAAATGGTCAATTGGTTTAAGGCATGATCTCAAGAGTCCAATTGAATCATTTTTACCTAATGACATGATTCAAAATATTGTAAATCCTTTGGATTGACAGACGACTTTTGCAGTCAACTAATCAAAAGCCAACTATATATTGAAAAGTCAAACTTTGACTTTTTGGTCAAATTCAAGTGCCAAAGATCACAATTCATCAAAACATGTCAAAATAGGAAACTTATTCATCAAGAAATCAAGAAATCAAGATTTCATTTTGAAAAGTCAAAATTTCTAAACTTAGAAATTTTCTAAGTGTTGAAAATTTGTTATTTTTTCATAACTTTGAGCAATTTTTTCATTATGACACAAGATGATTCAAAGGAAACTTCCAATATGAAAGTTGTATATATCCATGAAATATACAACTTTTCTTCACACAACTTCTTCCAAAAGTGATTGGGTCTCAAGTTATAATTTTGGGAATACATGCTCATGAACTAAAAAAGACTTAGTGAAATTTTGCCCTAGTTAGGCAGATTTTTGACCTAACTTCATGACAATTTTTCACATAGTTCCAAGGGGAATATTCAAAAGCAATTCAAAGATGGGTCCTATAGCACATTGCAATATTTCCAAAATGTCCAAGAACTCCTTGATATCATTCTTGAGCAAGGAGAATCGAAGGCAAGAAGTTAGGGTTTTCAAACTTGAATTACACGCTATTTTGTGAAGAACACTTGATCCAATCTTCAAGCATCCTGTACAAATCTTGCTTTGCAGGCTTCAAACTTGCTAATCACTCAATAATTTAATGTTTACACAACTAATAGAGCCATTGTCCAAGCATTTGAGCCATTATCCAAGTTGCATTTCCATTTTGGGAAGAAAGGCACCACTTCCATTTTGGAAAAGTGACTTTAATCACAATGTCAACTCTTCTTGAGCCCATACATTGTTGTTTCTGACTCAAAAACATTTAAAAGCAAGAAGAAACATATCTACAGCCTGCTAACCACCCTACAAATCCTTGTACTTCACATTGAAACCATGTTTGTCCACTTTGCTTCAAAATCAAGTAATCAAGCCATAACATGTGATTTCATTTTCTGAGTTGTTTCAAGCCTCAAAACCTCTTGCCTATAAGTACATACACTATTTGCAAGATGACACACGAATACTAGTGCCCTGAAACTATCTCAAACACTCAAAAACCATAAATCTGCTCAAAAACACCATTGATATACAATTTTGAACCAAAACTCATCATCTTCATTTCCACTCGTGCCTTTTGAAAACCAATCATTCAAACACCTTCTATACATCATACCAAAGAAATCCAGGCCCCTGTTTCAAGACTGTAACTCCTCCATCACCATCCACCATTTTCAAACATCAATCTTGGAGGTTGACTTGAGTAGAGAGATTCAGGAACTTTCAAGGCAAAGTAGGAGTTGGAATACACTCAAGGAGGTCCAGGCAAGCTAAACAGGTCCTCAGGCCATCTCAAAAGTTGCTCAAACTCCATTCACGACTCCAGCTGCAAGGGGTAATTTTTCAAACTTCTATCTCTTCATACAAGCATCTTTTAATCCTGATTTGTGAAGACAAAATGTAGATATCTTTGCTCTAAAGATGACCATGTTCATAGTTCCCATTTATATTGACTGTGTATAGAGAATTTTGGATTTGAAATTTCTGAGAAAATTAGGTTTCAATTTAGGGCCAGCAAAATTAGTTTTCATCTTTGACTTTTAGCTTACATAAGTTATATAGTTGGATTAGTGGGAAGAAACATCACAATTTTCATGTTTGAACTTTCCATTTTTGTGGAGAGATGAAGAAGATACAGGTGGTCTGGCTAGGCGCGAGGTTGAAGATGAAATGTTCTTCAGGAAGCATTTTATAATATATATTTATGGTTTGGTTATATGACCGGATGAAACAGCCACCCCAGTGGCAAACGCGTGCGTACTAAGTCACTTCTTACCTAAAGGGCGAGGGTTCGAACCAATGTGAACCCCCCTTTTGTATTTTTTTTCTTCATATTTTCTGATCCTCTAACGTTTTTTTTTGCAGGCGTTGGGCCCTCTGGGTCTAGCATTGTTTTTTTATTTACTAGCTCACCTCCCTGCCTACTTTTGCACCCCCTGGTCCATTTATTTTTATTTACTTATTTATTTCATTTTTCTTTTAAATATATTTTCTAAAATACTAAAAAAATCATAAAAAAATATGAAGATAGTAGATTTATGTTTTGACATAATTTAAATATTTTTCTCACACAAAAAAATATTTTTATTCATTATACTTTATTTATCTTTACTAATTATCTTGTAAATTAAATTAAAACTAAGTTATTATT